AGATGTATGAAAATCTGCTTGCCTGTAAAATTTGCATTTATAAATGTGTTGCCGATGGATCACTTGGGCCTGTACACATACCAATTAGCGTGACCACTTCCATCTTAAAAACAAACCTAAAAAACAAAATTTATTATATATATATATATATATATATAAAGGACTGTGGGTTGTATACAAACTATTGCAAACACTTGTGCAAATCTGTCTTGATATAAAGGAAAAGCAAAATCTGTATAACATTATTACTACTTGAATGCCTCTGTGACTGATTTTTTTTTTCATTTTAAATATAAACTTTTTTGTGAAAAGTATGCTCAATGTTTTTTTTCCCTTTCCCCATTCCCTTGTAAATACATTTTGTTCTATGTGACTTGGTTTGGAAATAGTTAACTGGTACTGTAATTTGCATTAAATAAAAAGTAGGTTAGCCTGGAAATGAAATTAAAATTCACAAGTGTGTGGTCTTTATTTCAGTACCCAACCCTCGTTCTTCACCCTACTATTTTGCCACTGCAATATGTAGTCACATCACCATTTCCGTTCCTCTAATTAGGGAAACATTAATCTTTGTTATGAAAAACAAGATATGAATACCACTTCTTGTTCTTTCCAATGATTTTATTCCATTGTGTAGCCCCAAGAGGTGCAGCTTCCATCTTGGAAACCTTTGGATTTGACGTAGAGGAAGCTTTGCAGACACTGCTTAGAAAAGAAAGAAAACAACTCTGAAAAGGACAGTTTTTAAACGTGTATAAGCTGCTGTCTTTGATTACTGTGTTCATGATTTGGTGTGGCTGTATTTTCTTTTAACTTTCATCCTATTAGTAATGGTCTTTGGGAGTCTCTGTAAAATATATGGACACCACAAACAGTGGGGCTGTACCTCCCAGGTAACCAACACATGTTGTGTTTGAGTCTGCTCATTTCCAATACTGGATGATGTATGTAAACATGTTATGTCTCTTAGTGCAAAAAGAAACATCATTTTTTTAGGGCTGGCTCACTCTGTCAGGCCTAATCTAAAGGCTAGATATAAGGTCATGTGACTGCTGCTTCAATAAAAACAAATTTATATTCGATAAAGTGTGGTCCTCTTATTTATTTACTGTGGTGTTGGGGTTGGCTAATTCCACTAACATTTGTAAAACAGTTAAACACATTTAACCAGTAGAGGCGACGGGAGGATTGGATTAGTGAAAAAAGATGTTACTTGTTCAATGGGCCTCCTGCTGGCACTGAAGTGCATTGGGTGTCTGTCTTGTATAGGTTCTGGGATTGAGTTAAACATTGTGTTAGTGTCCTGCAAGACCCTTTCAATTTAGAATCCTGGAAGACTGCCTTTTTCGTTTTTAAGTCTTTCCAAGAAGTACTGACCACAAACAGTCCTTTGGGATCCTATTTCAGGAGAGCAGTGATGATGGATGTAATTTTGTTTTTGTTATGTTATGTTTTGTTTTGAGACAGAGTCTTTCTCTGTTGCCTAGGCTGGAGTGCAGTGGCACGACCTCGACTCACTGCAACCTCCGCCTCCCTAGTTCAAGTGATTCTCCTACCTCAGCCTCCCTAGTAGCTGAGACTACAGGCACACACCACCATGCCCAGATAATTTTTGCATTTTTGGTAGAGACAGGGTTTCACTTTGTTGGCCAGGCTGGTCTTGAACTCCTGACCTCAAGTGATCTGCCTGCCTCAGCCTCCCAAAGTGCTGGGGTTACAGGCATGAGCCACCATGCCCAGCCGGTAGATGTCATTTTGAAATGTGTTCTAGGAAGGTAGTGAGGAAAGGAGAGATCAGGTTTTAGATCCCTGTCGTTGAGAAGTTTGTGAAAGGAAGTGAACAAAAGTGTTGGGAGGGTCACACATTTCTCAAGTGTAGGTATATTTCACTCATCACCACCATCGGATTTAGGAGAGCTGAGGGACATAAAGGGAAAGCTACCAGGAAAAACCAAGCTGCCGTGGAAGATGGCATAATGAGGCCCACAAGTTAGGAGTTAGGAAGGGATGGATAATCATATGTATGTTTCTCCTTACATCCTCTTTCTCCAGAAGGGAGTGGCCACTCTGGCCCTCCCCACAGATTTGTCATCAACATCAAGACTTAATTAGACAAAGTTCAGGGCCAGGTAGAGAGAGGCTGTTGAGTGGCCCTGACTAATGAGGGGGCAGATGGTATGCAGTAGCTTGCTTTGGTCTTTTGTCCTGAGCTTTGGAGACTGACTCCATCCTCTCCTCACTGACCTAGAAAAAAAAAGTGGTCACAGGGATGCCTAAAAACTGATGCTTCATTCTGCGTACTCAAAAGTTCAGGGAAGGGAGTAAAGAAGAAACCCAAATGTTGGAGTAGGAAAGTTACAATCTGGCTCCTAGTCCCATAAACTTGTGATCCACAAAACTACTGAAAGGAAGTCCCCTGTGTGAACTCCTCAGTGCATCTAACATTGAATCTTTCCTTACTCTTGAAATACGCTTAGTTTTTATAATCTATATAAATCTATATATCAATTCAGTGTTTGGGGAACTGCCCTGGAGTTTTTAAATCAAGACTGGAAGATGGAAATTTGTCCTCCATTCTATCTTAACCTCGCCTTACCCTGTCCTACAGCTAACAACAGTTTCAGGCTCTTGAACAAATAGCACTCGAATTGTTTCAGTAAGGAAAGGGAGATGCATATGATTTATGAATACACTGGAATGAAATCTATGTTTCCAAATTAGAAATTTGTATTTCTAATTACAAATGGATTCATAATTAAACAAAATTCCTGGGAGCAAAAGCTGTATTCACTGAGTTTGGAAAGAGAAGCTCTTTTTTCCCCTCAGTATCTTTTCTAAAAATAAGTGCGCCCTATATCTCCTTAATGCAGAAAAGTCTGGTAAAGTCAGAGGGATGACAGAATATGTTTACTTGCTTTGATTTATATTACTGATGATTTACCATGTCCTCAAAGTTTGGCCTGCTTCTTGTAAAATGTCAAAAGCTAAGTAATTATCTGTTCTTTAAAATTCAGTTACTGTGAAGTTTCATTTGAATGGAATATTAGACGTTTAAAATTAACTCAATTCCTACATTTTTTTTTTTTTTTTTTTTTTTGAGACAGAGTCTTGCTCTGTCGCCCAGGCTGGAGTGCAGTGGCATGGTCTCGGCTCACTGCAACCTCCACCTCTCTTGTTCAAGCGATTCTCCTGCCACGGCCTCCCAAGTAGCTGGAACTACACGTGCCCACCACCACGCCCAGCTAATTTTTTGTATTTTTAGTAGAAATGGGGTTTCACTGTGTTAGCCAGGATGGTCTCGATCCCTGACCTTGTGATCCGCCAGCCTTGGCCTCCCAAAGTGCTGGGATTATAGGCGTGAGCCACCATGCCTGGCCTACATTTTTAACTATGGTATGCACATATGTTAAACTTTTATACAGAATAATCATTTTATAAGTAAGCCAAGTTAAATAATTCATTTTTATGTTCTTTTGTTTTTAACAACAGTTGTATAAATTTTTTTTTATTATACTTTAAGTTCTAGGGTACATGTGCACAACGTGCAGGTTTGTTACATATGTATACATGTGCCATGTTGGTGTGCTGCACCATTTTTATGTTCTTACGCCAGAGTCTTCAGATTTATGAAGGACAATAATAAAATTAGTAGTAAAAATATGTATGTTTGTGTGTATTTCTATTTCCACACCCCCACATTATTTTCCCCAGAAAAGGGCCAAAAAAAGTTTACCCTTCTAGCCAAAAGTTCATTATTTAATTTCTCTTGCCTTGGTTTGACATTAAACCCAGGACTACATTTCCCAAAACTAGTTCTTAGGTGTGGAATGCCTTATATCAAGTGTAATTTGTGAAAATGCAAAAAAATTTTTACTCACAAGTGGCTATAAACAAGGCAGGCACTTTCATACCCTTTCGCTTTGAGAATAGATGTGTACACAGAAATATAAGGTGCATGTAAGTGGTTCTTCTCTGGTGTGTTTAACTGATTGTCAGTGTAGCCTTGTCACAGAGCATAGCCAGCACTCCAGCCCCAGGAACAAACCCAGGCCCCATCAGATGGGGACAGACCTACCTACGCTAGATCACACACACGCACCCATAGCTGCAGTTTATGCCCTTGCTCCCACAGACTCATGTCCTCAGGAACCTTCACTTGGGTACCCGGTGCCCACCATCACAGCTCAGCATCCACACAAGGAAATTCTTTGTGCTGCTTTTGTCACTTATCGTTTCTCCTTTTGATCCAAATTGTTTGTGTTTCTGTTTGTTTTTTTTAACTATAAATTCTGTGAGCTCAGGATCTATATCTGAGTCAACGCTGTGTAACCCACAGCAGGCTACCTATTGTCGGTGCTTAAAAATGTGTTCAATGCAGAGACACAGAATGATGTGGCCAGAATGAGGTCATGCCAAGCTTCTGACATTTGTGCAGGCCTCCTGGCTTCGCTTCTCTCTAGAGGACTCCCACAGATACTCATGCGCCTGCCGATGAGTACAGGCCTGGAGACCACAAAGCAGCTCGGAAGAGGAGGGGAATGAGTGGGAAGTGGGAGACAGGACTATTAGAGGTAGCAATGAAAAGACTCCAGAAGCGAACAAACGTGGTATGTGGGCATAGACCCCAGATGGCCCAGCCCTGGTCTCGCCTTCCACACCTTGACACTTTAGTGGGATCTGAGGGATTTCTCCGCAGACCACAGGGCCTTTTAAAAGGAAAGGGCAGCCTTGCCTCTCTGATGGTCCTGACCTACAGGTCAGTGTACTCTCCACATAAGGGTCCACAGCTTCACTCCCTACAGACTGAGCTGGGGGTAGGGGGCACCCATGTCCTTCCTGAGGAATGCTAGCCAGCTGTCTTCGCAGGAGTTCCCTGGGAAGACAGGCTCAGCAGGGCATTGTCAGCTCTCGGCAGCATCCATCTGTCTTGGCCCAGGAGTGGCAGCTCAGAGGGCTCTGGGTCTGGCTGCCCCTCGGAGGCGTCACCCAAGGGCAGCCACTCAGCTACCTGTGATGCCGAACAACTCCTGCATGAGGGGCGTAGCAAAGGGGTGTATGTCCTGGATGCGCAGCAGCCGCTGGGTGTGCTGGGCGTTGATGCTGCGGAGCTCGGTGAGCATAGCCATGATCTTCAGGAACAGGAACCTGCGTGTCAGCCAGAGAAAAGGTTGGGGGTGCAGCCCGCCCTTTCCCTGGCCCGCAAGCCTCGGGGCTGCTCTGAGGCTGCAAAAGCATAATCTCTGGACATTTCAGGTCAGCCAAGAGGCAAGGCTTGGCTGAATTCCCTAAGCTTCTCTTTCACGCTGTGGATGAGAAAGGCAGAACAGCCTGCCCAGTACTCTCCCCACTCCCACCCCATCCATGGGAGTTGTGTCTTTTTTTTTTTCTTGAAAGAGACAGCATCTCGTTCTGTCACCCAGGCTAGAGTGGAGTGGCACGATCATGGTCTCACTGCAGTGACAAACTCCTGGACTCAGGAGACCTCCAGCCTCAGCCTGCTGGGTAGCTAGGACTAGAGCACATGCCACCATACCTGGCTAATTTTTTTAATTTTTTCTAGAGTTGGGGTCTGGCTATGTTGCCCAGACTGGCTTTGAACTCCTGGCTCCAAGGGATCCTCCTGTCTTGACCTCCCAAAGTGCTGGGATTATAGGTGTGAGCCACGACACCCGGCTGCGGGAGCTGCACCTTTGTACGCAGAGACCTCCGTGGGAAAATCCAGATATTGCAGCTACCAGTTTGGGGGTATGGGTGTCACTGCCTTCATTCATGTCCAGGGGCCAGGACTGAGCAGAGTCGTCGTGGAGGTCAGGGGCTGCAGGCTGGAATCCCTTCCTGGAACTAGCTTTGGATCCAGTATCTGAGATGTACCATATGCCTCAGTCTCCCCACGATGGAAAAGAAAGCTGGCACTTCCAGCCTCCTGCCTCCATACAAGGAAGGGCTGAGCAAAGGATGCCAAGCCAAAAAGAAAGCTGTACAGGCCAAATAAGGATTTCAGGTTATAAGTTCACACTCTAATACTCAGTGTTGGCCTTAACCCTTCATGGCCTTGGGCTCAGTACAATCCAAGTTTGTCTCTGGGCCTGTGGGCATCAGTCTGGGCACTAGGTCACGGGAGCTATGGAGGACCAGTGAAGGTATAGAAGTCCCTTTCTGGGCCACATTTCCCCTGTTTGCTTGTGTTTTTCCTGGGAAGTGGTTAGGTAGTGCTCAAAAGTGTGAGCTTTGGACCTGGTCTGGCTGGCTCTACCTCCAGATGCCACCCTCTGGCTGTGAAGCCTTGGGCAATTTCCCTGAACCTTGGCTCCCTCACACCACCCTCACGGGTCCTCACCCCCTGCTGTGCTCACCTATGAGCAGGCTGGGGCCGATTGCATTCAATGTAGGACTTCAGAGTAATAGCGTATTGCTCCTGCAGCTGGTCCACCACGCGGTGCTGCACCACACCTGGGCGGTCTGGAGGGGAGGGGAGGGAGGTGTGGTGCAAGATCATGAGGCAAAGACAAGCTCAGTCCAGCCCAGAGTCAGGGCATTGCTCACCAACCACATTCCAGAGCTGGAGTCACCCAGGCAGGGAAGTGAGGGAAGACCAGGGCTGGGCATCACCCACTGACCCCAGGAGAAGCCCGCGACAGCCCCCATCCTGGCTGCACAGTGAATGAGGAGCAAGGCCATGGATTGGGACCTTCCCTGGGGAGGGCAGATAAGGCTGGGGGAATGTCAGGCAACCTAGGGGAGACCCTCACCTGGGGAGAAGAGGGAGATGGCCTGCATCAGCACATACTCCTCCTCGTGTAGCTGCAGCTTCTTCAGCATGTAGTGGAATTTCAGCATGGGCTCCAGCAGAAGTTGCTGGAAACCACCTGTGGATGGTAACAGGATGGAGGGGCAGCTTCTCAGCAACCTGACCAAGATCCTGTCATCCCTCACCAATATCTTGTTTTCCACCATTCCATCTTCCTGCCCTGCCCTCCCAGAACCTGCATATCCTGGCGTAGCTCCCTTCCTCCCACAACTGCAGTGTTTCCCTCCCTCTGCCAGGGCAGGCAGGCTCTCTCGGGCACCTGCAGGGTCTTCCAAGCAGTAGGACAGCCGGCCACACTCCCAAGTTCCAGTCTCCGCGTTGAATACTGTGTTGAATCTCAGCTGGCACAGCTCAAAAGTGGCCCCCTTCAGTAGGGAGATCTGGTCCTCGATGGGCAGGTCCCTGGCAGCAAGGATGGGGAGGGGAGGACAGCTCCCTGGGAGGCGGCCCACAGGCCGGCCCCAGCTGCCATCCCATAATCCGGAAGTTGGGGGCGAGAGGAAGAGGGAGAATGGCTCCTTTCCCTGAGGATGACTGCGGCTGCTGTCTGGTTGCCTCTCATCTCTCCCCTCACAACCCAGCAGACAGCTCTGTCCCCCAGCATCTTCTCCTCCCCTGCTACCTCTGGGAACTCCACCCACTGAGCTTGGCATCCAGGTCCCTTACAGCCTGGCCCTATCTCCTTCAACTCCTATACAACTCCTGACCTACACCCAGTGCTTTGGCTTCTAGTCCCTGGCCGCCTCCTTTCTGCCTCAGTTTCCCCCCTTGGAATGACTGCCCCTTTAGTAGATCCTGCTAGCCCCTCAAGCCAAGCTATGTCTTTGCTCCTCTCAGAAGTCTTTCCAGAATGCAGTCTCCCCTCTCCAGAGTGCAAGTGCCGCCCTTTTGGCCTGAGCTCCAGCAGTGGGGACGTTTGCTTCCTGCGGTCAGTGTTGGGTTTAAGGTGCACACACGTATTTCTACTGTTTCCCTGCAGCCCAGATGCCTGCAACCCCAGTCCTATCACCGGAGCACAGGCCTCACCATGGAGGTGGCTTAACAAGCCTCTGAGATTATGGTTACACGGATACCCTTCTGGTCCTGCAGGGACCACTCCCTCCCAACCTGGGAGGGACCCCCACCTCCCCAGTAAGGAGGCATTCCTTACAAGAAAGAAGCGTCACAGCCTGAGAGGGAGGCTGCTTACTCTGGGTTGTGAGGAAACACTACCTCTGGCCTTGGCCTCTTTGGGAATTCCGGCCCTGAGCTACTGGCACCCATCCTTCTTTTAGATCCGTAACACTGAGCTACAAATGCCACGGAATTGATCTTGTTCTTCTGTGCCTTCCCATTGCCTGGCTTAGGACCCGGCATCGAGCTGGCTTTGGTACTTCCAAATCTACCCTCCACCATGGATTAGCTGTGACCTTGTACAAGTTTCTTATCCTCGGGGAACCTCAGTTTCTATCTGAGAATGAAGACGGCAGTGACACCTGGGTCACTGTGCTCAACATTGGTGGCCATGAGAAATAGCAAGTGGGGAGCCCTGGTGTTAAATTGTCAGTCACTGGATTTCACCAAGATCTTCTAATGTCCACATTTATAAGTAGGCTTCTCTCCCTGCCCCTTTAAGCTAATTTGCCACCATCTGAACCCCATTCCAAACCTGCTGTCAGCATCACCCCGTTAAATAAGTCATGCATGACTCCTACAGGGCCAGAGAAGCACCTCTGGGCTCCCAGACCATAACCTACCCTCAACCTGCTGAAGACACCAGGAGCTTCTGGCGGGTGTGTTTCAGCCCCGCTTGACCAGGCTTGGCAGGGCAAGGTGGCCTACCCAAGGACAGATACACCTGGCACCATCCCTAACCCTAAGATTGCAGACATATTCTGGGGCTGTGGTTCCTGCCACCCCAGGAAGTTCCCATGTCTCCCACTAACCCCAGTTGCCCCGTGGTTGTTGCCTCCATATCTAGCTCTGGGGAGACCTGACCCTTGAGTTCTGAGGACCACCCACCCTCCCCACGGCCTTCGCAGTCTTATCTTGTCTATTTCTCTCATTCTTTGGTCTGGAACTGTCAACATGTGATTCCTGCCCCTTTAAGGGAGAGTAGGAAAGGCTATCTGAATGCCCACTCTGTGCTGGGGGCTCTTCAGATGTGTTCTTATTTCACAGAACAGCCCTGCAGGGGAAGCACTGTTAGCTTCCATTGGGCAGGTGGATAGGCAGAGACACTGGCAGGCCCACAGCCACAAAGCTAACCAGCCACACAGCGAGGCCTCTACGTCCCCGCAGCACTGGCTGCCCTGGGGGGCAGGGCACAGGAAAAGGAGGGTCTTCTGCCACCAATATCTCCCAAATTCAGGATCTACCCCAGGTCCTTTGAACCTCCTGGCTACTTCCAGTTCCTTTCCACACCCAACCACCCAGTCTCCATGTCCTACCTGAAGTAGGAGATGACTTTGGCAAAGTTGATGATGCCTTTGAACATGTAGGTTGACATGTCAGCCATGTGGGGCAGCAGGGAGAAGATCTCTTTCCCGCCATTGTCGGCTGGGGGTTTGTAGTTCCAGACACTGCCATCCTCCCCCCGCAGCTGCACGGAGACCTTCACAGACCACAGATCTTTCCTGACCTGGTTCCACTTGGCAGCTTCTTCCCTCGATGGGGCCTGCAGAGACTCTGGCATCTCACAGCCACTGCTAAGCACCCCTGGCAGCTAGGACACATGCCAGGAGGCGGAGAGGGGAGAGACAGCACGTGTTTTCATAGACAGGTCCCAACTCAGGCCCCAGCCAAACGTGCACAGCCACAGCTGCAGCCCGAGAGGATGCGCAAATGCAGGCATTCACACCCACATGCACGCATGCGTCCTCACACATACAGACACACAGCCTTTGTTTCTTCTCTCTGGTGTCCTCTACCAGATGAAGGTGCTTTGGGGATCTATGAATCAATGGTCACACACGTCCCTGCTTGGTTAAAATGGAGGGCAAGGGGGACTCCAACCATGGTGTGTCGTCCCAAGCATTCTAGATGTTGGGCTCAGGAGACTCAGAAGGTTTAGGGCGCTATGGATGGGAAGAGCAGATCCTAGGTCACTGGGCTCATCCAGTTCTTTGAGCTGGGAAGGGCCACCTGAGATATCTATCAGTGCAAAGGGGAAGGAGGGCACTTGGAGCACAGACATGGCTAATGTGCCTGGGATCAAGAAACACCGGTTCACGAAAGTCACACCCCTCGACAGGTCCTGACCCTGTCCTCATAAAGCCCTGAATGCCAGTCACACTGGGGGACTGCCTAGCTTTCCCTCCACTTACTGCTCAGACCCAGTTCCTACCTGCTTTAAATGAGAGAGCAGCGATTTTCTTTTTTTTTTTTTTTTGAGACAGAGTCTCGCTCTGCCGCCCAGGCTGGAGTGCAGTGGCCGGATCTCGGCTCACTGCAAGCTCCGCCTCCCGGGTTCAAGCCATTCTCCTGCCTCAGCCTCCCGAGTAGTTGGGACTACAGGCGCCCGCCACCTCGCCCGGCTAGTTTTTTGTATTTTTTAGTAGAGACGGGGTTTCACTGTGTTAGCCAGGATGGTCTCGATCTCCTGACCTCGTGATCCGCCCGTCTCGGCCTCCCAAAGTGCTGGGATTACAGGCTTGAGCCACCGCGCCCGGCCGAGAGCAGCGATTTTCAAACCTGAACCTGCAACAGAATCACCCGGGGATCCTGCCCCTCCCTGGAGCTTCTGATTCAGTTGGTCTGGGGCGACCTGAAAATCTGCATGCTGATGCTGCTGACCCAGGGACCACACTTGGAGAGCCTTTGGGAATGAGACTAAAGCTTTGAGGAGCTCGCACAGACGCAGGGCCAGCTCTGCAAATCTACCCTCCACCACTGATTAGCTGTGACCTCGTACAAGTTTCTTATCCTTGGGGAACCTCAGTTTCTATGTGAGAATGAAGATGGCGGTGACACCTCAGTCACTGTGCAGTTCCTCCTACCCGGAAATTCTTGAAATGGGAGAAGGTAGTGTCAAAGGTTTTCATCTGAGCGTCCATCAGCTCCCTGATCATCATCCGCTGCTCCTCCGTCAGCCCCTGCACTCCGGGTGGCTGAGTCCCGATCCGTTCTTTTTTCTTCCTCTTGATCAAGGCCCGCCTCTCCTCTACGGCCGCATCGGACATGATCACTGCAGGGACAGCGAGGCTGGCTCAGGCACACGTGCCCCTGGTCAGCCTCCAGGCCCCCAGGGAGCTGCTGCGTAACCCTCTCAAGGCAGCAGAAGGCATTGGGTAAAAGGGAAAGTAATGGTGACAAGCGATTCTCCCCTGTCTGGACTCAAGAGGCCTGTGGGCTCCTCTGGAGTAACACCTGGGTGAGGACAGAGGTGAGGTGCGGCTGGGGTATCGCCCTCTGCAGTGGAGTTTGTGAGGACACTGTGGGGCCCTGGCAAGAGCAAGGGCTTCAGAATCCAAAGGCGCTAGGCTTGAGTGAAAACTTTGCCACTTACTACCTGTGACCCCAAGCAACCTCCTTAACCTCTCCTGCCTTCAGGTTTTTTCTTTGTAATCCAGAGAAACCGTGTTTACCTTGCACTGCTATTAAATGAGACCTTGCATGTAGGGTGCCTAATATAGTTCCTGGTACATAAGAGATGTTCAGTAAATGGCATCTACTGTTATCATTTTTCGGATGAATTATATACCAAGACTCTTCAGAGGTGTCTGGGTCTCCAAGACCCCAGAGAGCTGGGCTACAGCTTAGCAAGAAATAGCAACTCCAGACACTTCATATATAGCCCGGAGCCTTAGGTCTTCTGTGGATTTCGGGAGCCCACTCATGCGTGTAGAGCAAAGCTATGAGGTCCTTGGTGGGGAGAGATCAAGAACGCCTGCCAGCAGCCTAGAGAACTGAAAGAAGCAGCTTTGGGTCCCCTTGTGTTCCATGGAGACAAAAATGCGCTAGAAGCATCTAGCCTTTTCTGCATGAGCCTTAATCTCAGAGTGACCTAGGAGCACAAATATATCAAAGTTAAATAGGTAGAGTGAGAACACCTCCTGTCACCTGTCTGCTAACAGTTCCCCTGTGAAGATCCAGGTCTGGTGCGGATGGTGGGCGCTAGTAGCTATAAAGCGGGGGGTCCTATCACCCATGTGGCTCCTGCTTCCCTCCCCCAGATTCACACCCCTACCCCCAAATGTGGTTTCAAACCATTACAACAATTATGAAGGGGACAAAAAGAATCATGTAGGAGCAACTGAAGGGAGACAGAGGGCACGCCCTGGCAGGGTTGCCCAGCACACATCCCAGGACGGAGATTACAGACTCCCTCCATCACCCAGCGGGCCGGCTGCAAGCGCTCCCCCAGGTGGCTGCCTGTTGCACACTGACACCAGCTCGCATGTGCACGTGTGTTCACGCGCACACTCGGCGCGCATCTCCACACTCGCATGCACGCACCCACAGCACGTCTCTACACAGAGCCGTGCACCCCGGCCCCGGCCCGCCCGCTCGCCCACTGCTCACTCTCCTTCTTCATGCCGCTCTCCAGGCACTTGCGCAGCCGGCAGGCCTGGCACTGTCGCCGGGTCTTCCGGGTGATCTCGCAGGCGCCCTTCCGGAAGGGGCACCTAAGGCGGGCGTTGCGTTTCATGGCCCTCCTGTGAGAGAACAGGGAGCAGAAGGGAGGATGCACGGGTGCCCGGGCCCTCCGCCTGGGGCTCCGGGCTACACCACCTTCCTCCCCAGCCCCTACCAACTCGGGGAGGGAGACACTAGCCTTTGCGTCCCAGCTGGGTCAGATTTTATGGGAAGGGTGTAGGTGGGCGTCCCTAGAGGTCCAGGACTCGGCTAGAGGGGGCAGAAGCCGGGGAGGAAACCTTTTCTGGCCATTCCCGCAGGAAATGGGACACGTGCTTTTCGCCGGGCCTGCAGCCTCAGAACCACTTTCTGGGACACCTCCGCTCCAGGCCCACCTTCAGCGCCTTCCCTTCCTCCTGAAACACCTGTCCCCTCCTCTTTCACACCCTTGTTACCAGAAAGTTTCCATGGAGATGGGCCTCTTCCTCGATTTCCCCTCCTTAAAGGAGGAAGCCGAGGAAAAATGACCCCAGGAGGGTAAGAAACCACAGAAGCCCCCTGCTGCCTTCCCCAGCTCCCCTTCCAGACTGGGCGGCCAGGGAGGAAGGGGTGAACTGTGGGGAAGCTTTTCTACCCTACGGGGCAGCGGCTTCCCCATGGCAGAGTGGATTTCCCTCGTTGACCTAGGGGGCAAGGAGGTCGAATGCCTGGAACAGCAGAGCGTGCAGGCGCGACCCAGGGGCCCCGCACTCCCCTCTCTGCGGTGCACAGAGAGGCAATGGGGCAGATGCCTTTTGGAGACTCTGGTACAAGATCACCTTGTCCCACAAAAGACACGGTCACTGCAGCCCTACCTTTACTTTCCCCATTTCCACAGCTGGATGGAAAGAAACAATTTCTCCCTTGGCTCTGGCCTCTGAGTCTGGTCCAGAGTGGAAACTGAGGGAAGGCTGGCCCAGGAGCATGGAACAGCCAGGTGGGGCTGCAGAGTTCCCTGAGGGCAGGCCTGGGAAGCTGAGCCAAGCCCGCAGTGACCTGGCAGGTGCAGGTTTGAGCTTGGAGGCCTCGGGCCTCGGACCAGCGACCAGCCCAGGGTCATGTTCTTCACAGACGCCATCCCTGCCTTTTGCCTTCCCAACTGGCCTGGGTAAGAAAGCCCTGATGCTACATCAAAGTCCACCGAGAATGGGTCAAAGGTGAAACCGGGGCTCACACTGATTAAAGGTATGCTATGTATCAGATGCTAGGCTAGGTATTTTGCAGTTTTGTAAATTTAGTTCTCAAACGCTGTGAAATTCATAATCTCATCTGCCTGGCACAGATGAGGGAGACTGAGGCTTGGAGACGATGGATTCCCAGCTGTCCTCCGGGTACATGACAAGCTGAAATTTGAATCCAGGTCTGCCTGATACTGGATTTAGCTTTTGCCCACTACAACATGTTGCCTCTTTCTGAGAGTCCCAGGAATAGTACCCAAACGAGGAAGGGAGAGCAGAAGATTCCCACATGCTGAGGCAGGATGCACAGACACTCCTTGGGCAGCCTCTTCTGTGCCAGCAGCATCTGGAGCTGGTGCAGACATCCAGCCTCTTCCACGCGGTCACGTGGCGTGTGGCCAGCTCAGGGACGTATCTGCTGCTCTTTGCTAGTGACTAGCTCAGGCATAGGCTGGGCCTGGCTCTAGCCAATGTGAGGGGACTCCTGGGAAAGATTTCCTTACTCTCAAAGCTAAGCCTTTTTGTGCGTCTGCTGAACATCATGACTCCTGCCTGAGCCCCGGCACTGTGCCCCTATAAGGGGAGCCAGACTGCAATGAGAGCTCTTGCGTGGGATGGCTGAAGAGAAAAATGGAAAGAACTGAGCTGCTGAACTCAACCTGGAGGCCTTCACACTTCCTGTTAGGAGAGGTAACGCGTTTTCCTTATTGCCAAACCAATTTGCAATAAAGGTCCTACGACTTGTAGCTGAACCCAGCCTGACACTGCTGATGTGTCTCACCCCTGTTACAACTCATGCAACGCGAATGTTCATTTCTCCCTGGAACCTGCCCTTTTCCATTTGCGTGCCCAGCCACCAGGAAGAACTCGGCAAAGGGCCATCAGGCAGGCTGTCTTGGAAATGCATGAGGGTCCCACATGTGGCTCCTGACATGGGAGCTGCTCCTTGCATACCCTGTGCCCTCCGGAGGGTGCCCCTGGAGGGCTTCCTCACACATGGCTTTCTCTCCTCCCCACCCCTCCCCTCCCTTCGGTCTGCTTCTCTTCCCATGGTCTGAGCATTTATTTTATGCCATTCTTTAGGAAACAACCACCCCAGAAGGTGAATGTGAACACTTGGATTTGGGAGTTTCAAATTCTTTACCTTTCACTGAGTCATTTTCCATTTTATTCAAGAGCACATGGAGAAACCAAGGTATATCTTAATGGAAGGAGACCCTTCCTGGGTAGAACAGGAAGACTGAAGATGAATGATTCCTCTGGGATATAAATGGCTCCCTTGAGACTAATTACAAGGCCTTTGGGTGGGCCACCAGCCCACACTGAACCTGGGGGACAGGTCAAGCTGAGGCCCTGAGACGTTACCCAGTGGGTTAGTGGCAGACCCCAGTTAGGTGTGACCCAGCGTGTCAGTGGTGGCAGGTGGGTGAAGGCTGATGGGTAACTCTACCTGAAAAAGCCCTTGCATCCTTCACATGTCATGACATTGAAGTGATAACCAGTGGCCTTGTCCCCACATACACGGCAGATTTGGGGACCCCCAACTTCCTCATCTGCGTTGACAGTGGGCTTTCCAGGAGCAAACTCTGTGTCCTCACAGTATACAAAGTCAGCATGGTTCCAGCCTTCTTTGGGTCTCACCTCCAGGTTTGCTTCTGGGCCTCTTGGACTAGAAATGAGAAAACCACAGAGAATGAAAAGACCGGACAGGCATGTGTAGAGGCCTCAGAGGAAACACTCTGTCCCTTCCATGCATCACTCACATTTGGGCCTGTGGACTCAGGAACTGACCTCTCATGGGGAAAAAAAGCAGGGAATGGGGTTGGAATTGTTATAAAGAGAACTGTAATCATGACGTTTTGTACACAAAAATAGAGCCCTGGAATAGAACCTGTGAACAAGGGCATGGGAAAGACAAGGGCAAGAGGGAGGCAGAAATGAGAAGAAAAGAGAGCAGGCTGTCTGGGTCGGATCATGGAGGCCACAGCTGAGTGGACTGAGGTTAGGAGGCCACGACCTGGCCAGAGGTCTCAACGGGGAGCAACTCATGGACAGATTACTTGTTCAAGATGATTTCTGGGATTGGGACATTGAGGGAGGATAGTCCCTCAGGTGGGGTGTGGCCTAAGCTCCCACAAGGAGCTGGAAAGGCTGGGCAGAAGGAGAATTTTCAACTAAGTAGCCAGGCAGATGGGGAAAAAGTGGAGGCGTGGCGGGCAAGATCACAACATGGGAAGAAAAATGGCCTGTGGTCCCAGCAGAGTTGGGGTCTAAGTGGATATTGAAGAACTTGTGCCTATTAATAGAGCTGTGGCTAGGCATGGTAGCTGATGCCTGTAATTCCAGGGCTTCGGGAGGCTGAGGCAAGAGGATTGCTTGAGCCCAGGCATTTGAGACCAGCCTGGGCAACAAAGTGAGATCTCGTCTTTACAAAAAATATAAAAAACAGCCAAGATGGATGTCGTGAGCCTATAGTCCCAGCCACTTGGGAAGCTGAGGTGGGAGGATTTCTTGAGCCTGAGGGTTTGAGGCTGCAGCCAGCTAGAATCGTTCTAGTGCACTCTAGCCTGGGTGACAAAGTGAGACCTCATCTCTAAAAGAAAGAAAAAAAGAAAAAAAAATGAGCTGTACTCAAAGATGTCCTCCCCAGGCAACTTCCGCCTTGAGAGCATAACCTGAATTCTACTTGGAACAGACATTGAGAATGCTCAGTAGAAATGGGGGACTATACTGTTACTACCATCCCCGAAAGTCTCTCTAGGCGCTGACTGACAAGCGCAGCCACCACCACAAATGATGATCCTTTTTCTAAAGCCAAAATCGAAACTTAATACAATTCTAACACATAAATTTCTGTTTCTAACGTCATGACAGGTGACATCTGACGGTTTCACCTGTAAGAGTAAATAAGGAATTAATCTGTCTCTGACCCTGGCCCTCCATTGCACTGTGAATAAAATACATTGACTAGAAACCTGAACTGAACAGGCATAGGGGAAAATCTGCCTGATTTTTCAAATCATGATCCTGACTTTATGTAGGCTTGCAGACAAAATGTATACTTTAGGTGTTCACAAAAACCTCAAGCCAAAAAGTTGATTTAAGATTTAAAGTGCATTTGGGTTGGGAATTCTCCCAGATACCCACAAAAGCAGATGGAAATCCTCCTTTTTTTTTTTTAACACCAAGTCGTGCTCTGTCACCCAGGCTGGAGTACAGTGGCTCCATCTAAGCTCACTGCAACCTCTGCCTCCAGGGTACAAGCGATTCTGCTGCCTCGGCCTCCTGAGTAGCTGGGACTACAGGCGCCCGCCACCATGCCTGGCTAATTTTTGTGTTTTCAGTAGAGATAGAATTTCACCATGTTGGTCAGGCTGTTCTCAAACTCCTGACCTCAAGTGATCCACCCCCCTCAGCCTCCCAAAGTGCTGAGATTACAGGTGTGAGCCACCACGTCTGGCCAGAAATCCTCCTTTTTGGAGGAACTCACTTTCCACTTTCTAACTAGGCACAAATAATTACCTATAATTTCAAAGAAATATGAGCAAATACTCAGAAGTCATGAATGAAAAGACTGGCACAGCATGATGAGCAAGAATCAGCAAAAAAAAAAAAAAAAAAAAAAAAAAAAAAAACCCTTCTAAAATTAGACATGAGAAGATGCCCTGAATTATCAAACACAGAAATGTTTAAATAAGCAGTACAAGAGGTTGAAGACATAAATAAAGAACAAAAGACCATAAAATTGACCAAGCAGATTTGAAAAATGAATAAAAATTTACTATAAAAATCGGAATAAACAAACAATGACTCCTTAAACCAATAATAACAACATCTTGGGAGTTAGGAAAAGCAAAATACGACTAAAATATGGATGGACACAATAACTAAGGTTCTGTATTGTTGAAGGGAAAAAAAGATGGTAAATCTTAGATTTTGATTAGTGAAGTGTGCTAGGGTTATCATTAAAAGCCCAAAAATAGAATGCATAACTTGGAAGCTAATAAAAAGGAAAAAATGGAAGAAAAAAAGTTCAAAAGAAGGCAATTAGAGAGTTAAGAAACTGAAAGGGTAAGACAAATAGAAAATACAGATGTATGGTAGAAATACCAAATATGGGGCCGGGTGCGGTGGCTCACGCCTGTAATCCCAGCACTTTGGGAAGCCGAGGTGGGAGGATCACCTGAGGTTAGGAGTTTGAGACCAGCCTGGCCAACATGGTGAAACCCCATCTCTACTAAAAATACAAAATATTAGCTGGATGTGGTGGCGGGTGCCTATAATCCCAGCTACTCAGCAGGCTGAGGCAGGAGAATCGCTTGAACCCAGGAGGTGGAGGTTGCAGTGAGCCGAGATCGTGCCATTGCACTCCAGCCTGGATGATAAGAACAAAACTTTGTCTCAAAAAAAAAAAAAAACAAACAAATATGTTGTTAGTTAAATGTAAATATATTAAAAGACACTGTGGGTCTGGATGTAGTGGCTCATGCCTGTAATCCCAGCACTTTGGAAGGCTGAGGTGGGTAGATCACTTGAGGCCAGGAACTGGCCAACATGGAGAAGCCCCATCTCTATCAAAAATACAAAAATTCGCTGGGTGTGGTGGCGCATGCCTGTAATCCCAGTTACTTGGGAGGCTGAGGCATGAGAATCACTTGAACCTGGGAGGCAGAGGTTGCAGTGAGACAAGATTGTGCCACTGCACTCCAGCCTGGGCAACACAGCGAGACTCTTTTGTCTCAAAAAAAAAAAAAAGCACACTGAGAAAGATGGTTTCAGCACATAGCTATAGCAATCTTAGGTTCAGGATTAGTATTTTGGGGCAGATTTTGTATTAGAGAATAAGGCATGGAACAGATACCAAAATGGAAACTAATGATTATTCAAACTCAGTGTTTCAGGTCCTTTGTGAAAGATCATTCATTGTCTTAGTGTATTCGGGTTGCCATAACAAAATATCAGAAGCTGAGTGGCTTATAAACAACAGAAATTTATCTCTCATGGTTCTGGAGGCTGAGAAGTCCAAGATTAAGGCACTGGTAGATTCAATGTCTGTGAGAGCCTGCTTCCTGTCATCTATGGCACTTTCTCCGTGTCCTCATATAGTGAAAGGGGCTAGCCAGCCAGCTCTTTGGGTCTCTAGGGCCTCTCTCTCTCTCTCTTTTGAAACAGAAAAAAAGGAAAAGAAAAACCTCTGCCACCCGGGCTGGAGTACAGTGGTGTGATTTCAGCTTATTGCAGCCTCTACCTCCTGGACTCAAGCGATCCCCCAACTCAGCCTCCTGGGACCACAGGTGCGTGCCACCATACCCAGCTACTTTTTTTTTTTTTTCATTTTTAGTAGAGACAGGGTTTCCCCATATTGCCCAGGCTTGTCTGCAACTTCTGGGCTCAAGTGATCACCTGCCTCAACCTCCCAAAGTGCTGGGATTACAGGCATGAGCCACCACGCCCCGTCTCTGGGGTCTCATTCATGAGGACACTAACTCAATCACGAAGGTTCCACCCTCATGACCCAGTCACCCCCCAAAGGCCCCACCTTCTAAAGCCATCACACTGGGGATGAGGATTTTAACATATGAATTTGGGGGAAACACAAACATTCAGAACATGGCACTCATTTATTCCTCATAACAATCATCACGACATTTATCATATTCCTCAACAGACATGTGTTGAGAATCTACTACACACCAGATATATTCTGTTATGTATTCCAAATAACTTGGAAGTCACTCTTACGACAAAAACCCAGGGACTTTACAAAACCCTCTAACTGTTCACAAAGAGTGTTCCCAAATCAAAGAGCATCACAGGCAGGCAGAGGAAATTTTATTAGCAGGATAGTATTTCAGGGTCTACATTAGAGGAGAACAACCTCCCTTATGTTTTCAGCATCATTCAGGAGCCATGAGGGATAGCAGCACCTGGGGCAATGGAGACAGTAGGCAAAGATTCTGCACATCAATTATGAACTTTGGACAATTGAAGATGGTGAGATGGTGCTTTCTCAGCAATAAATATAAATGCTATTCCCCATAATGGAAGTGACAATTACAACTCGACTACACGATTCACAGGAGAAGCCCAACAGGTGACGTGGACCAAGAAGATAAAAGAAATGTCACCAAAGGACCACAGAAAGGACATTTACTTAAACCATGTCTAATTTACACTTTCCCCAATTTCTGAATGAGGAGATAGTAGAATTAATGCCAGAATCTCATTCCACGGTATTTGTATAACTTTCACTTTGTTTGGCCCAAGTGTTAAGCAAGCCGACTCTGGCACATTCTGTAGTTCCTTCTCTCATATGCCTACGAAACTCCAGCTAGAGAACCCATGACAGCTGTTGTCCAAGGTGGTCCCCAAGGAGCCATGCCCTGAAAGATTCACACCCTTGTGCAGCCCCCTCCTATAGTGAGTCTAGGCTGGTCTGTGACTTGCTTAGTTAATAGAATGTGGGGAAGAAACAGTTCTGGGCCTAAGCAGTAAGAAGCCTGGTAGCTTCTACTTTTGTCTTTGGAGAGCCCTAAGCCACTGTGTAACAAAGTCTGGCTACCCTGCTTAGTGACCACCCAAAGAGACCATGCAGAGAGTTCATGTGAAGAGGGAGAGGCCTGAGATCACACCAATGAGACAGGCCC